TCAGGCAAAAAGTTCAAAGCGCAATTAGTGCATTTCAAGCGAACGCCAATCAAGGAATCTACAGCAACGTCTGTCAATAAAGAACTTTAAGTGTGGTGTTATGATGTTAAGTAATTAAATTTTTTTAATATATTAAAAAAAATTTATATGATACTTATTTTTAAAAGTTTAAAAAATTAAATTTAAAATTTTTAATCTACAGTTAATATCATAAATTTAAATTTATGCAATGTTAAATAGTGAAATTTTTTTACATTGAGCACGTCAAAAAATAATTTTATTTTATTTTTTTATTTTATTTCATTCGCACATCATATAATTTGAAATTAAAATTATTATTTTTTATAAAAAAATTATTATTAAATTATTAATTTTTTATTTATTTAAAATTTATAATATTAAATATATTTATCTTTTTAATTATATATAAAAATTATATAAAAAATAATATTAAGATCATTCTTACATCTTTTAACCTTATCATAACGCTCGTCGAAAAATAATCATTAAACCATTTAGTGTCGGGTTAGAAAACGCGTGCTCATTTCAAATAAAGGAGTCTATATCAACATCTGTCACAGTGATGAATTGACGTGACACTGCGTCAATTGAAAATGTGTGGATCAAGTGAATGCTAATTTGTGAATGAATCTATGTCAACATCTCTTACTCTCTTAGTGACAAACTGAGACGCGAGTGGCTGAGGTTATTGACATAGTTTAATTTGTTAATATTATTAATTTAATTGTAATTTTATTAATTAATAGCTTTAAAAATATTTATTTATAAATTAATTTAATTTATTCAATAATAAAAATTAATTATTTTGTTAATTATTCATAATTTTTTATAATTAAATTCAAATAAAATTTTTATTATATTTAATAATTATAATAAATTAAATAATAATCATAATTATAACTTTATGCTAATCATCTAAATAATTTAATGGTAATTTTTTGTTATTAAAAATAAAAAATTTTAAATTTAAGTCACATAACATACGAATAAAATGAGATAAGAATATGAAAAAGTTGTCTCTCATTATATAATTAATTATAATAATAATAATAATAATAATAATAATAATAATAACTTTGTTTTACTTATGTCATGATAAAAATGTTCTAGATGTAATAATAACTAAAGTGTTTTTTCTCTTTTATAGCACGTTTTTCTCCTCTCAACAAAAATGTAATTTTTTATTAATCTGAACGATATATAATTTAAGCAGTAAAACTATTCAAATACTGCTAAACTGAAAAAATAAATAAATAAGAAAGAAAAGATAAGTCAAGTCTTCCATAAAAAAAAAAAAAAAGATAAGTCAAGTCAGCAAACACGTGTGGTGATCCAAGATAAATGTAATTAGAAAAAGACAACTTTTGTTCATGTTGCATTTTTTTTTGGGAACTAAAACATCAATGTTCATCATTAGTTCATGACGTTAATTGAACATAATAAAAATTCATCATGTTAATTGAGAAAAAAAAAAAAAA